GTACTTATTATTATTACTGTTATAGAGAGAGTAAACTGTATATTTAATAGAAAATCTCCAAGTCATATCTTCGAAATCGTTAAAAACTGAGAAACTCTGTTCATTTACTCTCTTTCACAAAGTAAGTATATTCTATAAATTTGTCCAGCAGTTTCTGCTTGATGTATTTGGTTTAATTGTACAATTTCAGTGGTGTATAATTTTAGCTAGCCTTCATTTGATGATTCCTTAGGGTATATTCTTTAGATGACTATAACAATAAAAAATCAAAGCCATTTCATTTCAAAACCATTTCTGAACAACCTTGAAGTATAGAGTGACTCAAAAAAAAATTCTTTTTTTATTGACAATTAATTCATTTACTTTAGACATGACAGGCTTTAACTTTAATATCAAATTTATTGATAATGATGACTTCATAATGAATAAAACAAATAATTCAAATAAATCTTATCCCTACTTTGTATCACTCACTATAAATGCACTTAACTCCTTATACATATCTTTTAGAACACGTATCCGCCTTACACAAACTGTATATTGTCTATGGATGATAGAAGCATGCCCATTTCCTATTCTATGCAATCTCAATGCTTTGATTAGCAAATCATTCCAGATAGTTTCAATGTAATTGAGATTTGACTACAAAAGTTAGTCAAAAGAAACTTAGATATTTAGCTTAGTGCATAAAGCAAGATAATAGTGAGAAAACAAACCTCAATTCACAATAATGTTACAACCAATTTTTTAATCATGAGTAATTGCACATTTGATCATGGTAGTTTGGTTTTTTTTAGCAAGCCTAATCTCCACAACCCCCTTGACTTCCAATCCATGCTGTACACATTATAAAAAAATCCTAACATGTATATAAATATAAATTTAAACAGGTGAGAGAAAAATCAAATGCTGTATTTTCAATGGTTTTTCAGGAAATGTTACCATATGAATGTACTCCAATTGTGTATAGTTTTTTGAAACCTGTGCAATCTATGCCATTATTTTCAGTGCCTTCCTGCAATAAAACATTGTGCATTGTGACCATCATGTCAACTTTATCATTCCACTTAGATTTGCATGCATCTGGTAATCCTCCAGAATGTAACCCAATAACAGCCTCGAATCCATCACATGTAACTCTAAAATTGCATTTTTTCCTGATCAAAGACCTATCAGTTGGGTTCTTTGTTGAATTTGTAATAACAGCAGATGCTAGACTTTTGATCTCCCCCCTAAAATGTTCAAAATATTTTACTACAAATAAATGAAACATAGTTTAAATGCTAGAATTCTTACTTGTCATACATAAATTTCCAGTCATATGTTAAGATACCTTTCGACATCATATTTGTAAAATTATTGGAAAACAAGGCTTCTGAGATTGATGTTTGAAGTCTTTCCAAGTTATAGGCACTTTCATATAACAAAAATCACACATTAATGATAAGTTCCTTAACATAAAAATGGATATTATGAACTTACTAAGTTTGGATTAATATTCATATAGAATTGACCTTTGAATTTCCCCTTAATCAAAATGCAAATAATAAATTTTTTATTAATTCATGTGAAGCACATGAAGGAGAAAAGAATACCCCTAATAGTAAGATTTTCCTAAAAATAAAATTTGGTCTTTATTCACAACTTACCTCAATCATACACTTTTCAATTTCCGTAATTAAATCATCTGACTTCTTTTCAATCATCAGGAAATTTTCCCTGCCATAATATTATGTCCATAAATTTTAATATGTAAAGTTGTAATATTTGCATAAAAAATTATGTAATATTTACACTTGATGTAATAATTGCATAATTTTTGTATGCTTATTTGCATAATATTACAGGGCCCACCATAAACTTATGTAAATAGTGTAATAATTACATAAATCCGCATCAGAAAAAATTTCCTGATGATTCAAATGTAAGTTAATCATCAAACAACAAATGAAACAAAGATGTAAGTACTCATTACCTGTTAAATCTTATCAAATAATTTGTACAACCCATCTTTTTCATTTATATCTTTAAATTCTACTGTTTTGTTAAAATCACTTTTCATTTCTGACCATTCATCATCATGGTTTGGTTTGGTTTCAGTTTTTAAAAAACCAATTTGAAAATTTTCAATTTAGTTTCGGTTTTTAAATTAATACTTGGAGATGTGACATACGCATGATTTTTTTAATTGTTATCATTATTGATTATATTTATAAGAAATGATAAAATCAAAATTTTGGCCTCATTTGTTAAACTGGGTAGAATTGACAATTTCGGTTACTATTTCATCAGCTTTGCTTCTAAAAGGAATTGGTTTACTTTTTCTTTTATAAATGATAAAAAGAGAAATAAAACTATTGACACCTGAATGTGTTTTAAATTTGTATATATTTATTTTAATTGCAAATTAAAATGTCCAAAAAATACCAACAATGATAATATGGATAATTACAATTGGTGGTGATGGAAATGTGGGAAGCAAAAATGATAAAAGTAATGATGATGATGAAACAATTAGAATAGAAAGTGGTGAAGAAGAAGACAGTGGTAGTGATGATAATATTGAAATTTGTATTTAGATATTATTTTTATTTATATATATATTTTAAAAATTTTTTTTTTAAAAATGCAATGCATAAAAATGCGCATCATGCAAATGAAATTTTGAAATTTCATGCAATTTCCCATTTCTACAGACTCTACCACTACAACCTAAAATAGCCACTAGAACCACTACTACATAAATATTTGGCTTGGAACTTTGTTAATTTTAATTCTTTTTTTGATATAATATGTATATACACTCCCTGACAAGTAATGAAGTTTTTCAAAAACAATTATAATACTATTTAATAATGTAATTTTTATTATAAATTCGATTCACATAATAATAAAACATTCCAAGACTTATATTAAATAAAAGCTGTGGTCTTGGAGATTGAGCATGTGAATTAAAATCACGATTAGCAAATCTTAAAATAAATTTATATATATTCATTTTTAATTTGTTATTTTATTATTAGGAAATATCCATATTCAAATATTAAAATAATCCATTTTTTATTAATATATTTACATTTAATTAATCATTCATTCATTCTACACCATAATAAGTACGATAAAGATCCACAACCTTTTTCCCTCTTGTTTTTGCTAAATCTT